TTCGACAACCGCGGGCCGCCGCCACGTGGCGGAGCTCCGCCGTTCGACGAGCGCGGGTCGGATGGGTTCGATGACCGGCGGCGCAGGCCGTCGTTCGACGAGCGCGACATGCGCGGTGGACCGCCGCCGGGGCGCGACTTCGACGACAGGGGCAGGGGGCGCGGCTTCGACGACAGGGGCAGGGGGCGCGGCTTCGATGACAGGCGTGAGTATGACAGGGGCGCGCACTCGCCTGGCATGGGACGCGGCAGGGGCAGCCCCCGATTCGACGACCGCCGGAGGGGGAGGGGCGGGTATCGATAGAATGGCTGGCTTTGTTGGCGGTGGCATGCGGCTCGCGCGCGCTGGCTGGCCTGTGCGGTCAGGGAATGGGGCGCACGTTGGAAGAGTGGGCTTTGTTTAGACTGTCGGATCTAACCACGTGTAGGTATCAGTGTGTGTGTGTGTGTGTGTGTTTGGTGTAGGCGCGTCATGGGGCTGTGACACAAGAAAATGTCTCGAGGGCTTGTTTAGGTTCGCAGCCGTGGAAAAATAGATGATACGCAGAATGGTAAAGGCAGCAGGCCGACAGCGAGAAGCAATATGTAGGTTGCCAGCGGGAGGCAGCGCTGTCCGTACGGGCGGGAGAGAGGGGGAGCGAGGGGGAGCGAGGCGCGGACAGCGGATGGGACGCTTCAGCTGGTGCAATGAGCAAGCGCGAGTCCAGAAACGGTGTCGATTAGATTGTCGAGCGAGAGAGGGCGGCGGCACGATAACAGTACGGCTAACAAAAATACAGCGAGTGTGCAGAGTATTATTACGGAGTCGATGACGCGCGCGATGCATTAGCGGCATGCGATACGCGGCGCGGGCGGCGGCGGCACGATACAGTATGACACGATGAATGAGAGGTTTTGGGGACAGCGGGGCGGTACCCGCTGCTGGCAGCGGGTAGCGAGGCGGGGGGCGAGAGGTGGTGTTGATTTTGTTCCGGACGGCAAAGGGGGAGCGCGGCGTTAATGTCGGGGACAACGGCGGCCCCGTTGTGCGCGGGCATGTGGGTTTGGATGATACTGTATGTGCGGGCGAGGACGGCAGCAAGCGCTCAGGGGGGGTTGGAGTGTTGAGTGGACGGGGGAATAAGGGCGGGGCGCTGGTGATGATACGGAAGGCAGTTAGCGGGAGGGCAGCGCGGGAGGGCAGCGCGGGAGGGCAGTGAGCGAGGCGGGCAACCAGGTGTGTGTGATGTGCGGATGGGCGCGTTTAAAAGGCTACCAGAACAAGGGGTGCGGCGAGGAATACAGCGAGGAATACAGCGAGACTGCGCCATGCTACCCCCAAGCCGGGCGGCGGCAACTCGACACGGATCAGGAGGCGGCCTTGGCGAGGTTCTGCAGGACGGTGCCCGAGTATCCGAAGGCGAGGCTGGTCTCCTTGAGGCACGTGTCCTTGAGGTCGCGAGGCCAGTCGCTGGCGACCTCGTCAATGACAACGCGGACCTTGCCCAAAATCGCCTTGACGTCCGTGTCCCACTCGTAGAAGGCAAAGTGACGGCCATCGAAGAGGCGGTCCTGCATGAGCCTGCCGATCATCCTCCCGCCGGCCGAGTGGGCAAAGTAATAGTTGTACCAGCGGCACAG